CCAATCAAATGCAAGGGCCATAGAGCACTAACCAATGGAGCACTAGGCAACTCCAACTCAAAAACACCGACCGGAACCCCACGTGCACAGTCAAGTCGAGGTGGTGAATCCCTGTGCCGTTGGTCTACCAATCAGGCCACCCCTGTGAAGTTCCTTGTTGGAGTCCTGTTGGCATGGTGGCCTGATCTGCTTTCATGGTGCTGTTTTGTTTTGTTGGTTTGGTTGGGTTGGTTTGCTAGTGCGCCAATCAAACACCGAGGAAACACCAACAGCGCAGGAACGCTACCAACAAGCAGCAGGAAGCCGGCCACAGGCACCCTAGTGGCCACAGGAAACTCCAGAGGGACCACCACAAGGGACCACCATCAGGACCCCGGGGTGGGAGAGTTTAGGAGTTTTTTGCCCATGAACAGAGTTCTACGAATCCCTTGTCTGAGGTGTCCTGATGGTCTGTGGCTCCCCTCTGGAAGGTTCCCAGTGGGGGTGTCTTGTGACTGGTCTCCCGCTCTCGATTGGTGGTTCCTTGCTGCTGTGTGTTCCTCGTGGTTAGTGGGTTGAGTCAACCCGTGGTGCCTGTGGTCTGGTTCCTGCTGCTGTTTGGTTGGTTCCTGTGTTTGGTTTGGTTGGTTGATCCAAAAGTCGCCAAGCGCAAAGGCATCAGTGCGTTATACGGCTTGTGGCAATTGTTTGAAAGTACAGGACATGTCTCCTTTTTTGGATTACAGTGAAGGTTCCAAATTTCGACCATGACTGATCAAGAGCTTCTAATGCATACCTTGTCCCTGATAGTTGGTGAGTCCTGTTGGGATGTGGAACTGCCTGGTGTTCCCTTACTGGAGGAGGCTTATCATGGGTGGCGTAGGACTCGCTTTGTGTTCCTTCCTCTTGTTGCCCTGGTAGTTGGTGGTTCTGTCTGCTGTTGTGGTCTCATCCCATGATTGCGTTTGTGTCCAGGGTGAGGGGCCTGCCGTCAATTGGGGACATCTAGAGTTGTGGGTGGTCCTCTGCTGCTGAGTGTGTGGGGGTCGCCTGTGGTTTGTTTCGGTTGGTTTGCGCTAGGGCTCATTAGCCCTAGTCGTGTAGGGGACCGGGCTGATTGGCTCGAAAGCTCGTTAAGGATGTTCCGATTCGACAGAATGTCCAAGAGTTTCCGACCTTGTCGGCCCTCAATGAACAGTTCGGTGGTCCCTAGTGTGGGCCTAACTCGTACACACACAAAAAACCTAGATCCACTGGTAGCGCAACCACCAACAGCCAGGCTCTGGAGGGTTTCTGAAACGCGGAGGTGCCGCCCTGTGTGGTCCTGCGCTGTGGCATCCTGTGGGTTCGCGCACAGGACCGCTTGTTCATGGTGGTGTTTCCTGTGGGTTGTTGGTCCCAGTAGCGTGCAGAGACCCCACAAGGCTGGTAGTACCTCAAACTAAAAAAAGTTGGTCGGTTGAACCAAACAGAAAAGCAGGAAATAATCTGTGGTGAGGTACTGTTGGCTTGAAACTTAGTGCTCAATTGCCTAAAGTGACCAAACTTACGGTCTCCTTGGTTGAATCGGAAGTCAAAAAGCAAAATATAGGGGAGGGTTCAATTTCGATAGTGATAAATCAGCCTAAGAGTTCTAATCTATCAACCCTTTGAAGTTGGTGAAAAAGTTGTTTGGAATGGTCTCTACCCTGCCGTTCCACCTCGTTGTGGTCACTGGGATGTGTTTGGTGGTTGCCGCAGACGATGGGAAGGGCGCGCCCTATAACCCCATTGCCTAACGACTACACGGGCACCCCCTTGGCTTGATCGCATCTCTTGGTGAGGTTCCAATTTGCACCATAGATGATCCACAGTTACGCGGGTACCTGTAACAACCACAGGAACCACCCAACAGCAGCAGGTGGGTGTTCCTGTGGTGTTTGGTTGGTTGCCCTGAAGCTACCCGTCCTGTATGTGTTCCTGGGGCTTGTTTGTTTGGGAGTTGTGCTACCCACTAACCCGACAGCTATGGAAGTTCATGACGGGTCAACCAACCACATCGTTACGGCCCCTCTCGTCCACCAGGCGGACCTTGACTCTGTCCTTGCGATTGGGCGACTGGCGGAGTTGCGGTCTCCACACCGTAGGAGGATCCCACGTGTTGCTGGTTCATGGTAAAACTGGCGGTCACGACTCAGGACCCCTCAGTCACTCACTGATTCTTTAAAAAAGCCTTCCCACAGCCGAACCTCACTCTTCTCTAACAGGACTCATCCATTGTTAGCATCTAGGGACGACACCCTTCTTGTTGGGATTCATCACAAAAATTGTCGATAATGGAACTCCAAGATCTTTCCCGATCACAATCCCAAGGGCCGAACGCACTAGGCAATGAGCAGGAGCTTATCTGCAGGTGCTTACAAAATACTTTGACGGGGTTGCAAGTGGGTTTGGGTTGAATGGGGTTGGTCACAGAGCACTACACAAACGAGTCGATATTATGGTTTGATGTGCCAATGTTTTGACAGGAATCTGAACCTCTGATTCTCTTGGGCCAGTGTTTGTGTCTTACCCAATGTAGCAGTAAAGCAGCATGAATGGCTTCACATCAAAACCACAGGCCCTTGCCTAGGCAGGGTTCAAGCACGCACAAACCACAGGACTACCAACACGCGGCACCACCCATCAGCAGAGAACCACCACAGCACCGCACCAGGAACCTCCAGAGGCCCACACAGGACCCACCACAGGGACCACCAACAGGGACAAGGTGGTAGAACTCTTGGATCATCATGTCGAAATTTGGAACCTCCTAAGAGTACTTTTCGATCAAATCCCAAGGCCCGTACAGGCACCACGTCTAATGCGGTACACTTAGGCCACCACTCCATCTAAACCTACGTGGAACCCAATCAGTCACGATCACACATGAGCTCCGTATCACTGCCGACATCGAAGGCGCCACCCCCACTGTAACTAAGAGCCTATACATGTGAAGCTCTGATCTTTTCGGTTCCAACAGCATAGCTAATGAACTCCTCTATCCTTCTCCTAAAACAAGGGGCATCCCCGCCACAGGTCGGGCGGACCACACAAAATCCATTCCATATTCCCCCTCTGGTCTGGCACTGTGGTAAGACGTAGAGACTTGCCATCTGAAATAAAATGATCCATCCACACACACACAACATCACAAATCTCATTCGCGCACCAGGGTCTGTCCGCCCACAGGCAACCTGCCCAGCTAGGACGCTCAACCAGGGTGACCGTCGACTCGGTCCCCCCACAGACCCACCGGTGCAACAGGACAGTATGTCCCGGTTTCATGAGCACATTATCGGCGACCTCGTGGTAATCATCATGTCGAAATTGGAACCTCCTAAGAGACTTCCGAACAAATCCAAGGGCGTATATGCTACTAGGCATGGAGCACTAGGAACCAACAACCAACCACAGGAGTGCCACAACAGCAATCAAGGAACCACCACAGGCACCACCACAGGGACAACAAACCACAGGAAGCACCAACAGCCAGCCAGAACCAACCCAACAGCAAGCAGGAAACCACCAACAGCACTCCGCCACAGGGACCTCCAGAGGGACCACCACAGACACCCAGGGACCACCAACAGGACAAGTTTGTAGAACTCTTGGATCAGCATGTCGAAATTGGAACCTCCCAAGAGACTTACGATCAAACCCAAGGGCCAAAGAGCACTAGCCAATGGAGCACTTAGGCAACGAACAAACAAAAGCAACAGGAACCACAACAGCAGCAGGAACCAACCCACAGGCTACCGCCACAGGTACGAACAATATCCTTAAGAACAACCACAGCACAGGAACCACCAACACAGCAGGAACCACCAACAGCAGCATGAACCACCACAGGCACCGCCACAGGGACCAACAAACCAAGGAACATCCAACAGCAGCAGGAACCACCAAGAGACGCACAAGGAACCTCCAGAGGACCACCATAGGGACCACCACAGGGACAAACAACAGGGACAAGGTTGTAGCACTCTTGGATCATCATTTCGAATTGGATACCTTTAAGAGACTTCGATCAAGATCCAAGGGCTGGTAACGCCCTAGGCAATTGGTGGTTCCTGGTGGTTTGTTTGGTTGGTTGCCTAGCCTTGTCCCTGTTGGTGGTTCCTGGTGGCTTGTTTTGTTTGGATTGTGCTCCGTGACCCTTGGATTCTGATGGTGTCAAACTCATGTTCACTCTTCTTAGACCGGTGCCGTGACCCTTCGAATCTGTCCTTTGGCTGGATGTGGCGTCTGGGCGGGTTGGTTCATCCTCGATCCAACGTGCTTGCTTTGGTTGCATGGCTAAATGTGGCGTCAAGCTCATGTTCACTCTTAGATAGTTTTAAAAAGCCTTCTCACACTTCTTCTCTCTCTTGACCTGGCGAAGCACTTGGTGGTACCACAGAGTTCTGCTTCATCTCTTGGGGTTGGGTTGGGTTGGGTTGGATGGGGTTGGCTCAAGACTTCTGGTTGTGTGTCCATGTTTTGAGGAATCTCGTCTCTTGGGGTTGTGTCTTCTGAGGAATCGAATCCTCATCAAGATTGGTCGCACTCAAGGTCCCCTGTTGTATTGTGTCTGATCGGTTCTTTCTCTCTTCTTCTCCTAAAAGGTTCTCGTGCTGCTTCATTTCCTTGGTCTGGCTGGGGTATGCTATGCTTGCCATCTGAAATAAAATGATCCATCCATTCTGCCGCTGCCTGCCTGCCAGTCGAGCTCGTCCTCCGTCCGGTTGGTTCCCTGTTCAGCATTGAGCTGCCGGAAGCCACCTTCCAGGCCCTGCCTGGCCAACTAGTGTCTTGTGGCGTTCATTCACACTATCCAAAGCCCCGAGCTAGCTCAAGCCCCACCCTTTCTGTTGGTTTGCGTTTGCTCCGTTGACAGCTTGGTTTCCGCCGTTTTTAAAAAGACTGGGCCAGATGGGACGCTAGCTAGCTAGCTTGCTGTGCTGTTGCTTATGAATGAATTGCTAACTGTTTAGTGTAACTTTCTAATAATGATTATTTATTTATTTGGAGACCATGGCCCTGGGAGGCCATTCTTGCAGGTTTCCACCATACCGAGTTGCCAAATGGTCGCGGGAACAAAATTCGAGAATCCGTTCTAAATCCTTGGTGTGTTTGTGGGGGCTAATGAGACGGACCTTTTCGAGGAGACTCTTGGGTACAAACGGCTTGAGCAGGGCAAAGAAAATATTGACCCACGTGGGAGCATTGGCAATAAAGAGGCACGATAGAAGTTGGGGATAGGCAAATTCCATGTGTTTGGCGGCTTTGGATTCTCGAATCTTTTGTTGTTTTTCCATTTGTCGGTAGTGCATTCCGGCGGCATCGGACAATCGGATGCATTTGGTTAGGCGGCCGGTACGGCGAGTAATATGGTCGAGTTGTTGAAACATCCATTCGGTGAGCATCAAATGGCATTGAAAGTATTCTTCTTCCGTCATTTCCTTGATCATGCGATGTTGATCTCGTTGTTTCAATTGGATCATGTTGATAATGCCTCGTTGTTGGTCGGGCATGTAGCACACGAAAAAGTCGGGTTCGCAGCAGTCAAAGAGTTTGGGGAAACTGCGAGTGTAGGGATGGGTATCGTGACTGAACGTGTAGTCTTGATGATTGGAACCCATGGGCAAGGGACGCAGATTAAAGTCATCCAGTTGGTGGTCCTTGCGAAATTGCAGAGTGGACTTGATGGCTGTTACTGCGGCCGCATGTTTCTTCTTGTGACTCAGTAGAAATCGCAACAGCCACAGATCATCGTGTTTGCTCTTGTGGAATAGAGGTTCCTCGTCGACAAGTTCTTCACGGAGTTGGTCCAATTCCTCGCGATGTTCCGCAATCAAATCCTTGACCGCCGGCCGTTTGTCGTACTTGTCCAGGGGATCAATGGGATTGTCAATGCCATTATTATTACCACTCGTCGAAAGATCATGAAGCCACACCCATTCATCGGTACAAGTAGCAGTGGTGGTCATGGTGACGGTAGTAGTGCACATGGTGGTAGTCTTATTCGGCAGCGCTAGCTTGGGTTTGGCAGCTATTGGGTTTGGTAGTCTATTCCGTGTTAGCAGCGGATTTGAAAATTATGAGGAAGATGAGTGGTACCACCCAGACCTGTGTGTCTTTTTTCGTCTTGCCAAATCTGGCATGCATCGGTCATGGGAGGTCCTCACAATCGATGCATTGGTTGTTATTGTTGTACTAGTACTCTGTACCGGTACAGTTGGCCAAAAAGAGGCTGTATGGCGGCTTCTCTTGCTGTCCTGCGTGCTTCCAGGACTGCAGACTGCATAAACCCACCAAGATTTATTCCAAAAAACCGAATGCATTCGCGTCACCTTGACCGAAACAAACTGGTGGTACCATATATATGTACATCGTACCAGTACCCAAGCCGAACAAATGCCTTTCACGAGCCCAGATGGGTCTTGCCAGCGCGTGGGATAAGCATTGAAGTCTGAGTGTGACTTATTGAGCTCTTATTGATAGTACTGTAATAGTCTACCGGTACGAATAAGCTCAGACTGCTGTACAAGAAGGGTTCGCCCCGAACACAAGAAGCGTTGTCAGAGAGTATCGATCTTTTCAGATGTTGGGCGCACTGGTACCTTGATGATTGGTAACTAGTACCACGTAACTAGCTAGCAATTCCTATCTAGCTAGCTAGTTGCTGTGGGGCTGAGGGGAGCTCTGCTTCGGCATCTCGTGTTACCCGCACAGCACCGGTCGAGGTTAACAAACAAACCTTGCTGAAGCAAACTGGTACAGGCGCCACCCAAATGCCTTTCATGATCACAGTGTGTTTGCCCGCGCAGCATCTTTGCTTGTTCCCTAGCATCTGAATCAAACTGGTACTTACTTGTACCTTTCACGTCCCAGATGCGCGTCCTCTCTGTTATTAATAAGGAGCATCTGAATGATTGAATCATACAATTAAACTACCTTCAAGTTTCATCTTGCTTCAACAGATGTGTGTGTGTTGACAGCGCATCATGCATCTTTGTTCCGAGCATCTGAATGAATCCAGTAAACCTTTGTTCTACCTGGGGTCCAGATGGGTCTTGCCAGCGCGTGGGATCAGCATTGGAGACAGGCCATTGGAGGTGGAGGTGCTTGTAGGAGTTGCGGAGATAGCCAGGTTCGCGGAAGCTCAGGCACCTGGAAGGTTGTAGTTGTTGTTCGCCTTCTGGAGTGATAGAAACATGCAAAGAGGGTTTACTAGAGATATTTTCAAAGGCAAAGGGGGTTTAGAGTAAGTAGATTATCTACAGTAGGGGAAACTCTTTGAAATTCTAAACAGGGAACAAGAAGGATGGCTAAACGAATGATTCGATTTGATTCGATTCAGTCAAGACGAGGTCCGAACAAGGGGATGTGGAAGCTTTGGATCAGTGGTGGATTCCATGTTGAATGACGAGAGATTTGCCTGGGTAGCTTAGTAGGCACTTGTGTGCATGCACTCCAGGCAAGAGGGAGAGGCGAAGACGCATGGCCATTGCGATGCGAAAACTAGTACAAGCTTCGATTGGTGGGCACAACAAGGTGGCAGTGTGTCGGAACAAGGAGATTTCCGTATTGGGGATACCGTACAGGTTCTGGAACCCTTTGGATATGTTTGGAGGAGAGAGCTAAATTGCGTCCCCTTTCCATATAAATAATGGAGTCCTCTGGTACAACGTAGTTGCTGCCAAGAAGGATGAACCAAAAGGCTGAGAAGAAAGTTCTGTCCTCAGACAAACTCCGTGTCAGCACCCTTGCAGTTCGGGGCCTGAAACAGACTACTCAATTGCGCAAAGTTTTGGCAGAAGGCTTAGCTTGAAGACGGCGGAGAAGAAAATGGGGGGACAAGACAGTTGCATGACAATCTGGCTGAAGAAAGCGGAGTGATAGGTGATGCCCTTTGGCGAGTCCCTGGCATAAACGAAAGCACCTGTGGAGGCGACCCAGGTCTTCATTGTGTTGCTAACAACTGGAGTCTAGTCGAATCATCGTTGAGTACGCTGCATTATGTTATCGTTTTAATCGAGGAAAAGCTATAGATGATATCCTAACACAATGGCATCAACATCACACAGCCACAGAAACAGTCTTACGCAGCGCCGTCCAACGGAACCGGCCCAAACCCTTATACCGCCTTGCAATCTTTCCGAAATTGGAGACTCCAAAACCTCTTCAAATCTTGTGTAGAAACCTAGTCGACCATCAGTCCATCTTGCGCTCACCTTTCCAATCAAAACCAATGTCGCCGAGCTTCTGGATACGCTCCTTATTAATCAAACACTTGCGCTTGGTGTCGCGGTAGTACTTTTGGGTCCTTTGGACTCTGGTCCACTTTGCTAGCTTCAGCGAATCCGACTCCATGGGAACATCAAAGTCTCCATTGGCATCCTTGTACTCTTTGAGCTTTTGGAAATTGGCTTCCCACGCTGTGTCCGTTTCCTTAACCTTGTTCAGGTCGAGTTCGACCCCCCAGTGAAAGTTGAGCTCCTCGAGCTCATCGATCTGTTCCTGTGTCAATGCTCTGCGAGGTTTTTTGCCGCCCGTCATCTGGAGTTTAAAGTTTCGCCTCGTCTCCTGTACCCAGTTGCCAAAAGTCTTGTTTCCCTTATAGCTACCAGTAGTAGGAATCTTGCAGTGACCGTTCTCCGCTAGGAACTCCTTGCATTCCTTGATGCAGTCTTCCCAGCTCATTTTCTTCTTGAATGTTTCGATCTTCTTCTTGGCTTTCTTGGCGACATCCTTCTCCTTCTTTTCCGTCTTCTTGGATTTGGCGTCAGACTTGTTCTCTTCAATCTTCTCTTCTGCTTCGTTGCCGAGATTCTTCTTGTCGCTTTCAGAACCCTTTGCGTCAGTATCCATCTTTTCCTTTGTCTCCGAGTCCATTGTCTCGGAGTCCTTTGCCTCTAAGACGATCTCCTCCTTTGCGTCAGAATCCATCTTCTCCTTTGTCTCTGAGTCCATTGTCTCGGAGCTCTTTGCCTCGATCTTCTGCTTTGCGTCAGTATCCATCTTCTCTTTTGTCTCCGAATCCATTGCCTCGGAGTCCTTGGCCTCCTCGGAGACGATCTTCTCCTTCATCTCAACCTTCATCGTTCTCGTTGGGTGCGTGCACGGTTGATGCCTTTCAGAGTGCGTTGTTGACGATGGGGTATGATTGCTTCGTTGACTTTTTGTGTACGATCTGCGGTTGCCACTTCGTGCTCGTGTTCGTCGTGGCTGCTCCAACTAGCTACTAGTAGCGTGGAAGGCAATCCTTGGAGGATACCACAGCGAAATTTCACGGGAATCCTTTTGCTCCATTGATTGTACTTCTCCAACGGCAGAATCCCACGTCTTGGTGATGTCGAGTTAAGCAGCCTAGCTAGTTGCACAATCTCACACTTGCATTTTGGGCTTTTTCGCATCCAGAACCCCGGGTTCCAGTTGTGATTGGAAAACGCGAGCACTCCATCGGGGTTCAGCCTTGTTGGAAAACCTCAAACGATACCTCTCCAACCAAACGCTCCGGCGACACGCAACGAGGCTTTCTCGGAATGGGCTGGCATCCAAGGATGTAGGTTTGCTTTGGAAGGTTGCTTTCTGTGGACCGTCAAGGACTATAATGATCGAACGTAGGCCACACTCCAGCCACACGGATCGCACCCAGTGATTGTATCCATGTCGCCTCGTGCCTGACCAAGCTTGTCATCACGGCACGTCATTGGAAAAGAAGGGGGTCAATACTTCACGATCGCGGCTGTTTAATTTCATGCTCTTATAGTAGAGGTTGCCTTTTACGAGTCAGAGGAGCAAAATGAACTGCCTGGGCCAGCGCTTGCCGCATGGCCCTTGCATCAATCTGTTCCTTCCTTGGTCTGATGTTAGTAGGTGCCAACCAACATCCAATCAGCTTTTCTGGCCATTCTCTGAATCGTTTCAGTATCTCGAGTTGTTCCCTGTTGCATAGGCTTCAGTGTCCCGTCCCGAAGGTTTTGACAAGATTCCATAGACACCAGCATTACCAGTGAGGCGTTGTGGATTCAAATCATTGGAGTATGCTCCAGCGGGATCAATGTAGTGATGGTGTCTCATGACAATGCTAATGGCTTCAGGATACATGCGCCTGGTCAAGTTGCGAGCCTCTTCTTCGCCATAAATGGCCATGCTTCTGAAGAATGCTTTGTCAGTTTCAGTCATGTCGTTTTGTTCCTCGCCACCTGACGGATCGACCTCCTTGGCCTTCTTCTCTTCGGAATGAGCGGGCTCGTTTCCAACATCATCCGGTGCAACAGGGGTGACAGGAGCATCGTCAGAAGTGGAGGGGAAGGAAGCACGAGGAGCTTGCTTCTTGGAGGATTTTTTTGTGGTCTTTTTGGCGGGCGGCTTCTTGTCGTGGTTGCCGTCACTGTCATGGCGAGCCTTGTTGCTGCTGATTGAAGAAGGCGGAGCCCGATCATT